CCACTACGACCGCCCGGCTCTCGCGAGACGAGGCCGGAGTCCGGCCCGGCAGGTGCGTGCAGCGAGCAGGTGTGCGCCCAACTTTAAACCCACCGTGCGCGCGGGAGAAACGCCCGCGTGGACCCGGGCACGTCCTCTCGCTCGCCCGGCTCGGCGCGTGTGCGTGCGTTCTGTCTTTGTGTTCGCCGGCCCTTTCCTGTTACCAGGGGCACATAAGCCTGATCCCTCGCGATCTGCAGGACGCCGCCTGCCAGAGCGGGTACTCTGGCCGGCTGTCCCGGTGATGGATGGCTGTCCCCTTGGAGGGGCCGAAGGGGGCCGTAGTCTGACTGTTCGCGTGTCCTGCGTAGAGTTCCTGCTTGGTCTGAGCCCAGCTGCCTGGTTGAACATGTATGAGTAAACACAGCCAGCGGAAATGTCCTTTAGACATTTTAAAATAGTTGGGAAAATCAAAAGACTGTTTTCTCACGTGTGAAAATTATAAGGGATTCTAATTTCAGTGTTCATAAGTGAAGTTTTCTTGGCGCACAGCCACCCATTTGCTTATCATTTGTGATTATTTCTGCATTACACCGTGGGACTGAGCCTTCGCAACAGAAGCTGTATGACTGGCGACGCCTTAAATGCTGGCCGGCCCTTCTCAGAGACGGTTAGGGACCCCCAGAGTAAATCGCCAAACACATTCTTGCTGCAGGGCTCCCTCACGCAGGCCCCCTCTGCCCTGACCACACACCCCCTAACCCTCTCCTGGTTGGCTCCTCACTGCTCAGTGTCAACTCAGATGTCATCTCCCTGGCTACCTTGACTAACAGGACTCCCAGCACATTGTCCGAAAGATGTATTTAGAATAATCAGCAGGATAAACTTCTTTCTCCGAGTGAACAGAGCGCCATGCCAGGGAACTGGCCGAGGAGACTCAGAACTCATGACAGTGCGCTCCCCTAAAGGCCTCTCCTTGAGAAGTAAGGGATGACAGTGATAGCGAACTTTTCCCAGACTGTAGCCCAAGGGAGTTTAAGCTCATCCAGAGCTGACTCAGCCCGCTGTCTTCACTCCCAGTCTTCTGGACTCCCAGTCTTATGGATTCCAATTCTCTTTTCTCCAACGTTTGATCTGCGTTCTTTGAACATACGAACTGCCTTTATTTTAAAGTTTTGTTTTCTGTGACTTTTTCTTCTCATTTTCAGTGATTTGGTCCTGTCTCTTGACAGATCTTGTAAGTTGTGTTGAATGTCAGCCATTGTGTGAAAAATAGAGATTTTTCAGGTGAGGAGCTCTGGAAAGGCCTCACCTTTCTTTGCAAAATGGATGGTGAGGAGACCGACCATGTCCGCCAATCAGGAGCAGAACTGGGTGGAGGCCAGGCTGAAGTTTGGGTGAGACAAACTCTCAGCAAAGAGTTTTGGTAACTCTGGCCCCTGTCTCTGAGGCTTTGCCTTTCAGGGATTCCAACTGAGAGCTGCGGATTGTCCTCTAGGACCCCCGAATCCCTGACTGTGAGCTCTCCCCCTATCTCCACGGCATGGCAAGACTGCTGGAAACTCTCTTCTGGGTTTCATGGACTTCCTGCCTGGATTCATCATCTCTTGGCCTGTGCTGTTTCAGAATCTGCTAAGTGCCTCGATGGAAAGCGCTGCCATTTTAAGCTTTTAAGCTCATGTTCCGCCCCCCCCCCACCCCAACCGTGGAATATGCCTTTCAAGTTTCCAGTTTTGGTTCTCCGGCTCTATGAGACCATCGAAAGTTCTGCTGGTTTCTTCATCCCCCAGCAGCAGGCCACTTCCCTGAGAAAAGTCTAGATTCCCTAAGCTCAAATTTGCAAATATCCCCAGGGAAAAAGCGGCTGAAGAATGTCAGCTCACCTCTCTCCCTTCTGCCAGGGTTTTAGTGCCTCTAGTTCTGGTTGCTCCCGCAGCTCTCTAAGTGCCTTCGAGCAGATGGTGATGATTTGATCTGGCTTTTCTAGAAGTTCTCAGAAGAGGTGGAAATTTAAAGGAAGTAGCCCATTGGTCAGAGGTCATCAGCTGTCATGGCTGTACACCACACACAAATCCATTCTGTTCCACCAATTGTGGAAATAAGTAAATAAATATCTTTATTTATCCCCTTTCTTTCCGTCGACTGCTCTCGTGGACATTAGTTACACTTTGCCACCGCCCGACCTCCTTTAATACCCTTCATATGATTACAAAATGCTCTCACAAAATGAGTCTCACGGCTCCTTAAGAAAAGCTAAAGCATTTTTCCAGAACCTTCTATACAACCAGGTTTCATGTCATCTAGGTGCTAACATCACCGGAGGTTTCCACGGATAAGTGGGCAGTGGCCCTGATTGTGAACATGGCACCCTACGGAGCAGCTTCCCAGGGTCTGGCTGCTGTATGTGGTGGTGGTGGGGGGGGTCTTTTCACGTAACTTGTTTCAGCACATTGTGGGAATCGGGGTGCATCTTTGCCCAGTGGCCCTCTCTCTGCACCCCGCCCTCACGGGCAGCCCCAGGCAGGCTTCCGTCGGGTGAGATGCCAGCCACCCTGCTTGATGCTCCCGGGCTCATAAGTGATACTTCGGTGAACTCTCCTCTCTTGGCACTCAGATTGGGAAAAAAGAAAACCCCTGCAGGGACCTGTTAGTGAAACCTCCCCTGGGTGAAGTGTGGACCTTCTCAAACAGACTGAAGTTGATGCTTGTTGACAGTCCAGGACGAGTCTGGCCACCTCTTACTGGGAGGAAGCAGCATCGCCGCCCACTGCCCTCACCTTTGAAGCGTTAGCTGGTGTTCGGACCAGAAGGCTAATTCCACGTCCTGTTATCACAGCAAAGTTCACCCCAGTATTTTCTAAGTTGCCCTGTGCATAGGTTGGCCATTGCAGAGTTGGAGGGAGAGGTATGAGCAGTGCCCCTGCAACGAGGCAAAACTGGCATCAACTCCCTAAAGGTCTCAACACGGCTTTCCTGGGGCATTACGGTTTTTTTCCTTCTCTTCTTTTTTCCTACTGAATCTTTGAGGGGTTATATCAGAATGCGGATCCCAGGTTATGATCCAATCTTTCATAGTCGTAGGAGGATTTTTATTGCGGCTCTAACTCACTGATCCTCAACACATAAGTGGCCTTTTAAAAATACTTTTGATGGTGGCAGGCAGATGTTCCTGTCTTTAACCTTGTGAGGTTTTCCCAGAAAACTGACTTTCCCAGCATTCTCCTCTTGACCTTTTGCCTCACTGTCTCTTCATTTTCCATGTGAGCAAAACAACCAGCTCACTCACTTGATGGTGAGATAATTTGAGTTCACGGTAATGGATGGTTTAATCCAGGGATGGATGTGCCGGGAGTGTTCATAGATGGCGCCCTCAGGGTGGGGGAAGATGCATTCTGTGCTGCTCTCCGAGTACTTAAGAGATGCACAGAAGGGATAACATCAGAAATCACAGGAATGTATCGATCAGCCTTGCTTAGTTCTTACACTGCAGCGTGCCTGTGAAGTTCTGCATTAGCCCGGACGTTATTTCTGTGAAGCAGAAAGAGGTACCACAGCTTGGGCGAACGCACATCTGAACCCAGGCTTTTCCCTCTGGTACCTTACGGAGGAAACAAACAACATGGCATCCACTTGTGGGAGCCCTGGTGAGGTTCCCGATTCTCTTATTATCGTGGTAAAATCTAGGCAGCAAAACTTAGCACTGGTGCAAGCAACGTGCCTGTGCCCCTGACTCAGGAAACAGGGTGTAGGACCCA